TAGGCAGCGCATCGGCATTTGTGGATTTTATGGGCAACGGTCGCTTTCCATTTCGGTGGATTCAGGTGGCCGCTTGCTCGTTTGTCATCTTATATTATAAAAAACAAGGCAACGCATCCGCCATTGCGAATGTCTATGGGCAGCGGTCACTTCGACAGTTTTGCGGATTCAGGTGGCCGCTTGCTAGTTTGTCACTTACGATATTTAAAAAAAAAAGTTGGAGAGGTAACGTTGTAACGATTAATACTTTTCCTTAAGCTTTATATGAAGTGCAAGTCTAAAGGTTAAAGAACGGATCATCGATTTTGAGGTGCAAATTTGAATCCTGCTATTTCTTGTCTTTCTTTTGTACTTTATCTCGGTACAATCTATCAGATTATTTGTAGTCTATTAGTTTCGGAGTTATTTAATGACAGATACATAGTTATGTGTTATGTAAAGAGTGTCATTAGCGATAGTTTCTGTTATATATGTTACAAAACTATGTTTTTTGTATTCAATGTAATTTATATTAATGTAATATTTTATAACGCGATGAAATAAAAAGATTGGTTAATGTCTTCACGTATGATGCAGTGAAAATTGCTGAAGTAACATTTTGTGTTATACTAAATGACACGCTTTAGAACTATAAACTATAATTTACTTAGAAATAAATGCTTATTAGGTAAAAAAATAATATTAAAGTATTTTTCACTAAATTTCTTTTTTCTCGTTGTCGCTATAGTTGTTGCCAGCGACTCCGTATGGAATTCAAACTTATTTACAATGCATATTTATGTAACATTCTACACCTATGTCGAATTTCATCTAGATATGCAGTTCTGGACATGGTAACTAATATCCATCCATCCAAACTTTAGCATTAGTAAAAATTGGCAATAGAGTGCGGCATCCGTTCGGATGTCGGATGTCGGCTGCAAGTCCGTAAGTACTCTTGACTGAATCGCTTGGGGGACATCACATGATAGTATGATTTTATTATGCTTTGTCTGCGTATTGTTATGACTGGGGATTAATTTAAAAATAACATTTTAGATGAGTAGGCGTAAAAACTAGAAGGCTATGATTATAGGATGTGAAAACTTGTATTCACAAAGGAATTTAGAAGATCTTGTTTTTCAATGAAAACTTTACTTATTAGGAGTTTATTAAATCTCAGACTGTAACGTAGGGATAGGTTCATGGATTATTAAGCGCTAATTCGCCGAAATAGCGATACAACTACTGCCTTAGATATCCGCAATTGCAAATGCTTTCCCAACCCTTTTTCGTCGAAGATAAACGCACACACGGACGCACAAAATTTCCCCTTTTTGTATAACTCCTCCCCTGTCAAATATACTTCTTCCAATCCTACATAAGTAAAGAGTTTAAAATTAGGCCTCCGGCACGTACTGATCAAACGAAACGCGATGATACTTCCATTACAAGATTTAAAATAAAATTCTTTTGTTAAGAATTAATATGGATTGCATCATCCATTTCTCCAGGTAACAAGAGCACGTTTTAAAGAAAGTTTTCCCGACATGTAGTGAAACAGGTTGTTCATAACTTAAAGATGTCGTGTTGATGTTTTTGCTGCATTCAATAAATATTTGAAACATCTCACCGTCTGTTGTTACGTCATCTCTTGTTTAGTGAACTTTTCAAATGGATTTTTTGTTTTATTACCCACTATCTATTTTGTGTTAAAATAGTCAAAAACTGTTTTACAGACGTATTAAGGCGATTCTTGCTTTTTTCCCCATCAAACTATTCACAGTTGCACATTTATCAACAAATTCTTTGAGTTTAAATAATTACTTTTTTAATTCTATTAGTTAATAGCTTTTCTGTGTTTGTTTTATACTGAAAATTAATTTTACTCTTCCCATCATACTCATCATCATCATCATGTCCTTATCCTACTCCCGTAGGGTCGGCGCAACAGGTTTTTGTCCTCCACATAACTCTATCATACGTCATCTCAGTCATCACTCCCTTTTTGATCATGTCACTTTTTACATAATCCATCCATCTCTTTCTAGATCTACCTCTACCGATGTACCCTTCCACACTCATAACTAACGTTCTCGTTGTAACATGCGATTCATCCCTCCTCATAACATGCTAATATACTAGTATTAAAAATGCGAAAGTTTAGATGGATGGATAGATGTTTGTTAGAATTTGTAGCTTAAACATGTGAATGGATTTCGATGAAAATTGGTATAAATGTAGATAAGTTAGACTAGAAGAACACAAAGGTTACTCACTTTTGTTTTTTTTTAATTCCACGGTGGTCGCGGTCCAAAGCTAGTGATCCATAATCTGTCATATGCTCAGATAGCGTACGACGTATGTCATCCATTGAGATGTGCTCGTACGGTGCGCACAATACCGTACCTAAGTAAACATAGCTCTGCTATTGTTCAATAGTCGATTCATTGTCACATATGATTCAGGTCTCTAAGAATCCAGCTTCCTTGTCTAAGTACTGGATTCGATAACCACGATCTTCCACCAGCACAAGTACACTGTAATCAAGTACTTTATTGGAAAAAATTTTGTTATAATTTCAAATTAATTTAGAAAGATAAGAAGCGGAACGCAAATCAATACGCAAACATATTTAAGCTATCGTCTTCGACTTCGTTTGCGAATATATGTTCTTCCAGACTATATTATAAATCTGTGCCAAATATCATCAATATCCGGTCAATCGTTCTTCATCCATTCAAACTTTCGTATTTATCAAGTATCGTTGCCTGTTATTCTTTTCCAATCATCGTTATATTTCTGGTATTAGGGGATATCTTCGAAAGATTACCCTGTCTGGTGGATAGACAGGGTTTTGAAAGGACCTAACTATTAAAACAACTTCGAGTGCGATAGAATCCTCTGTATAACTGGAATGAATGAAATTATTTTAAACAGTGCGTATTCCATTGACATCCATTCATTGTGTTGTGTTTTCCTTAATTTTCTGCGTAAATCTTACAAGATTTGTGGACTAATAATGAGTTCTTCCCCAAGAACATTTTATTACATCTGGAATATTAGTTGTTATAGAACTCGAATGTCCGTAGTTACAAACACAAATGACGGCGGTAAATAAACACACTATACAATGATATTGTTAGTATAACCATTGCTGGATAGCAAGCTATCGTAGACAATATAATATTCCAGTGGACAAGCATAACAACATAGACTTTCAGAAAGTTATGTGTACTAATACTAATGTGTACTAATAACTACAGTTCTTATTTAACCATTTACATTGTACAAGAATCAATCAATAGTAAAACAATAATGAGAAGATCTAAGTAAAATAACTAGAAATTTCCTATAATGTGGTGAATCAGATCTATTTTAATTGAAAGAGAAGGATACAAGCTAGGAAGAGGGAAAGAGGAGAGGAGAAGCTTCTAGTATAAGTTATCTGTGATAATCGATCACCTTTTTGTGTTCGAAGACTCTCACAAACGCAAGCGCCATCTACGTCCACCTTAAACTAGTTAAACATACTATTGGTAGGTTTGTTGTAGTAACTATTATAATGACATATAACTTTAAACTGTCATGGTTTTACAATTATAATGTTCGTAGGATACGGGTTTCTTACCACGATTTGGTGGTTTTAGCTCCCGTTAATTCGGCACAGTTACATGCACCATGTTCACGGGCTGACTGGAGTGATGCGGTAGTATGAAAAAATCCTTTTTGTGAATATGTTGATGATTAAAATGACGTATATTGTGGTTATATTGCAGGTTACGGTCGCTTCAGCCGGAGCGTGTTAGGAGCTTGTGCGTGCGCATTCTTCACAACTGGCGTGCAGAACTGCGTAATGTCGTACGTGTTGCCTGCCGCCAAGTGCGAGCTGCGCTTAACTACGTACCAAGCAGGACTTGTCAATATGGCGTTTATGTGTGGTAAGAAAGTAACCTGACTGTCTTTTAACATTAAAAAAACTACTAAATTAACATCTACCGCACACTGTTGTGCGATTGTCGAATGTTTCACATTCAATTGTTTAGTTGAACAACTAAAAATCGAGTAGTGTGGCCACGTCCATATAAGTTCACAAGAATCAAGGCGAGACTAAACAGTTCTGCGATAGTTCAGTCAAAAGCGCTCTCTTAGAAAGATAATATACTGTCGGTGTTCCGAATAACATGGTTCATTTGTTTCAAACAATAATTCTTAATTCAAATTACTTGTAATCTATATCATTGTTTATTCAGTTATGCGTTTGTCAACTGTCTTATTGTTTTAATATGAATGTTAGTTATTGTACCCGTTTCAAAGGAAGTGAAGAAGGAATTTTCCTAGTCTGTTCCTTATAATATGGCTGCCTATAATGCTATACTTAATTTACACTTCAGTTAAAAGTCAGTATTAAATGACTTCGTTAGTGCGACCCTACTCGGATAAGAGTAGAGTTTCTAACTAGACTATGTTTTAGTTTCATGCGTTAGTTAAAAAATATCTAGACGTGCTGTCTGTCATCCCGCTATACAATCAGGTTTGTTGTCCCCGACCATACTGAGTGGGTCCAGTTTCTAACTTAGAAAGTCGGAAGATGTTGCGATGAATGTAATTTAATCTAGAAAATGTATAACAGTTCGTTAGTTTCTGAGTACTGTTATAAATTATGTATATATATGTACTATTAGACAACTTATTTAATTGATACTGTCGCTTTTAACTCAGAGCAATACTTCTCGTCAGGCTTAGGATGCGCGCCAATCTATCCATACTTCTAGTGACATTGACAGCTGTCAGCTAGGGACGTGCCGTTTATGTCGATAATCTAGAGTTGCGCCAATTCTATAGCACGGTACTAATTTTATTCCTAACAGTACAGTCGCGAAAATCCGCGGTGTTTCACTTACAGAAATTGTTAGCAACGAGACAAACTCCGCTTCTTCTTACAAACATCCAATTTGGTAATTTGACAGTGGCGGTAACGATGGGATTATAATAAAAAGAAATTATAAGCAACTGAGAGACCTTTTTTTCGTACAGACACATTGATAAGTTGCGTCTCTTCGTCTTGGTTATTTTTCTGCGTCGTCTGAATGCATGTAAAGCGATCAAATATCGACTGTAGCTTTTAAAATGGAACACCGAGAGATTACCCGACTGTACATATTTTTGAAGAGCGAATAGAGATAATTTGATTCTTGAAAATGACGTTCCCAGAAACATCTAATTTGGGTAACTTCCTAATACAATAACCTTACCAGACATTTTATGCCGATCGATGAAAAATTTTGCAATGACTTGAAAAATAGATTTGTCAGTTACATCTATGATGATGTTTTTTATGTATTTGGTGACGTCTCATTTTAACAGTGAATTATAAAACGTGATTTGATCACCTTTTATAGAATTTTTAGCGTCCAATTGAAATAAAACTACCGAATTACATCATGAAATGTAGAATTGCCTTTTAGGTCTAAAAAAATGTTTTTCATTGTTTGCTTAACTCTTTAGGGTTTGATTATGCTTTTAAGGTGTAGATTGATGTAACTAATTTTTTTTTTTTTACCTTTAAAATATTATTCATGATTTCATTTTTTACTAATATAGACAACACAAATACGTCATTGTTGACTTTAATGTAGTAAGTTTTTTTTTTAATTTAAGAATCAACATTTTCATCTTATGAGATGTTTCAATTATCTAATTCCAGGTGGCGTTGCCAGCGCTTTCTTCTGGGGCATAGTTGCGGATGTGTTCGGCAGACGGACCATCCTGAGTGCTACCCTCCTTATCGACTCAGTTATACTGTTGGCTCAGAGCACCGTGTCTGACTATCGTATACTGCTTGCAGCAAGAACTGTTAATGGATTTCTAATCGGTTAGTGTTTACTGGGGTTACACGTTGTAAGGCTCTGTAGCTTAACTAGCACATCTGTTTGAAGAAATACCTTATGTAAATTCTGATGTCAATCAATTTTGTTCCTATACCTAATAACAAATGTATTAAGATTTATTTAATAAGTGGTAAATATATTTCTTACAATGCTTTTCAGGCGGGCCGTCAACAATCGTCTTCACGTACCTATCAGATCTGGTTGGAGTGAAGCGACGCCAGCTTTATCTGAACATAACTGGCATGAGCTTCGTCGCTGCTTGGCTTATACTACCAGGTAAATGCTAAGTTCCCGTAGACTAAATGAACTGATTGACGAACGGCAGCTCTCATTGTTATTTTACCCTACTGCCCCGCTAGTTGTGATGTAGTCCATTCTTCTGGAGATC